CGATGTTTGCAAACCAGCTCGGTATTATCGCTGCACTGCTGAAGCGTGGCGCTCTTGCTCTCATCAGCCACTGCGCTAACCATGCCTAAATTTGACAATGTCGAAAGGTCCCCCTGAGGCACGAAGAAGGTTTCCAGCCTCTTACTGGGCCCATTAGGGCTGCTGGCACCCTCTTCATCCGCGCAAGGAGCGTCTTTCGACATCGTCCCCACCTCCAGACCGGCCACGGCCTCGTTCTCTACATCATTTACATGGATGCATTCGAGAATATGCGGGCCCTTCTCTGGCGCGATCTGTTCCTGTCGCGCTTTATGAGGCGCCTCAACTTCTGGCGCTTTGCGACGCGCCTCGCCTTCAGACTCCGGTGCGAGTCTTTCTTTCTTTTTGCTAACAGAAGTTCCGAATTTTCCGATCAGCTCTGATTTGATATCTTCATAGTTGTTCGCGTGCTGCTCACTGAGTCGCGCAACAACGTCCGCTGCCTCGCAGGGCAGAACCGTGCGTAGCTTCTGAGACCAGGTGTCTCGCTCACACTTAAGTTGACTACACTTTCGTTCAAAGAGTCTAAGATACAGGCCCATATCCCATGATACCTCATATGGCTGCATGTACCTAGACATCTCGAACTCTGCCTCCTTTTCGAGAAGTACTCCTCGCTGGGGTCCCATTCTCATACGCAACTCATAGTCTTGTTCGAAAAACTTTCTCTTGAGGCCTTCTCTTTCGTGTTCACTCTTTCCTTCCATCTGAGCTGCTCTTAGTTTTCTTTCGATGATGAGGTCCCATTCTTCACTTAGTTCCTCATCATCAGCCCCCAACTCATTAATCGCTTGAATGATTATGGGTTTTCGTGCCAAACCCTTTGTATCGATCCCCAATTCCTCACACAACAGCAACAAGTCTGACTTCTGCAGCTCCCGTAAGTCCATGATCGTACTGAGTGCTCGCTACTTCCAAAAATAACTTCCCGAAACGGCGAAACTGAGTCTTTCGGCAAAGTTAACTACCAGTTCTAAAATTTAACCCTCATTTAGAACCTGGTTCACTCAAAGGAAAAGCCAAGCACTCACCCATACGTGATCCATGTATCGAGCCAGCTGCTTCTCTTGGGCCGACTGTTGTTGTCACTTGTAGCTTCGAATCCCACCGCTGCCAACCAGTTGTGCGATCCCACCGTTGATCACCAGTTGTTGTGACTCGGGGGCTGAGTCGTAGCGTGGTGTAGCTTGGGGTTGAGGAAACGACCGCTTACAAGATGGGGATACGAAAAACAAACAGGTTTATGGCACTATTTACAAATATTTACAGCATGAAAGGTTAGGAGTTCGCAACCCACGAACGTGGTGGTTGAACCGTTACTTGGTTCAGAGCCTTCACAAACTACGAACGTGGTGGTTGAACCTTTACTTGGTTCAGAGCGACGTCCTGCACTCTGCGGCGCCGTTATAAGCCCTGTCGGGCTCCTCCTTCTTCAGTGGAACACCAATCACACACACACACAACAGGTGAGGGGTACGAGCATGCACGGCGCACGTGAACATCCAATTTCGAGTCAAGATCACTGCACTTAAAGGTGGCGCCAGAGAGGCTCTTGCTCGTCGTGTATGTCGCTGGTCGAGGGGTTCCAAGCCTCGGACAGCAGACATCAAACGGTCCGCCAATCTGTCCGCTCAATTAGCAGGGCACTTTGTGGCGGCGGTCGCCGTTTCTTCAAAGGAATACGCTGTCTTTGTTGTCCCCTCTGGAACAGCTTACCGCTTCGTGGCGACGTGACGTCTCATCCGCCGGCTAGCAGGGACAATACCTGGCGGGCATGGCTACCTCTTTGAGGATTAAAAGAGCGCCGCTCCCCCGTCATTTCTGGACGCTGGTTCCGAGAAAACTGGGTTCTAGGCGTGGGAACGCTGCCCGGCCACGCTTCTCAGCGGCAGCATGGCGCCTACTGATGCCGGTCATAACAGCAGGCTAGTCGCTGACCAACATGGTTTAGAAACAGATCAACAAGTATCTCTTCTAGAAGTTTTTAATGTGGCTCTGTATCGGCTGGCCACCTAAACTTAGCCGTTCGTCTAGTTGTGACGCGATATAAACGTCTGCAACGTAGACATCGGGGCTTCGCCTCGAGTTAGCTCAACCTGCCCGAGGTCACCTGCAAGCACTAGCCTCCCGGAGCCACCAGCGTAGCAACACCGCCGACATCGCAGTCGTGCCAGAACTCGATTCGACTTCTCGCATCCGATCGTCGGGGACGCAACGCTGCCGGTCATCACACGTATGCCTTCACCTGTTTATATCATCGAACTTTCTCCTCCGTAGTCTATTGTTGTTAGTTTGCTATAGTTTGTAATTGTTCTCTCGCGTAAGCTGATTTATTGTTTTTATATGTATTTTTTAGTTGTATGAAGTGTTGATGTATTTTGTTAGTTGTATTGAAGTGTTGTACTAGGTCCCGTGTGCTGCAATATCACTAGAGTAAAGTTTGTTTTGTTTTCTCACGTCTCTGATCTCTTCACTGTATCTGCTTGCGTACGGAACGAACCAACCAGCTGTCATTCCCGTCGCCGACTTCGCGCTGGCGACGCTAGAGTGGCAGCTTGTAACACTGATGGACGCTTCGCCCCACTCATCACCATGCACTCCATGGATATGCTGTGAATATTTTTTGCTTATACGCCTTCGAGTTAGAGTTCACGAATCAAAGTGGACGATTGGGTCAGTTGGTGATACATGATCTAAGAGTACTACGCGGTAGAAAACACGGACGAGAAAAAAGACAAGGACAAGCGCAGTACTACAGTGCAGTACCTTGTAACCAGCTAGTACCCGAAGATGGTGGCTGTGGACGAGAAAAAGACAAGGACAAACGCAGTACCACAGTGCAGTCAGTACCTTGTAACCAGCCAGTACCCGAAGATGGCGGCTGTGACGCCAATGAACACTATATATGTGAGTGCTTGTGCGTGGAAACCTTACAGACAACTAAAATGTGTTTCGTGTGTTCTGATGTCCTCGCTTTCAAATATAATCTCATATAATATATTGGTGAATTGAGAATAATGCAAAATTAAACGCCAAATTTGGGAGCATTGGTGATTTGGGAGAAATAAACTACGATCAACGCCAAATTTCAGCAAATAATAATGATAATAATAGTAATATATGAACTGCAAAATACATGCTTCGAATTTCGATAAAAATAATAAACTCCGAATATTGGTCATGTTTGTCCTTCCATGCCAATTTAGCGTCATTTTCAGTGGCCGCGCCGACGGACGCGTGGTAGCGTAGCATGGCAGCTTTACAAAAGAAATCGAACACACGAAATTGCAGAGCGAAAGGCAGCAAACGCGCTAGCGTGGGTCATAACGTGCATATCTTCTACGATGTCCTGGTTATCTTCGCGATATGCCAAGATCTTTTCCCCAGCACGTTTACGTTCGTCATTCTACTCGTCACTACTTAATGATTGATATGGGGGGTTTAACGTCCCAAAACCACCATATGATTATGAGAGAAGCCGTAGTGGAGGGCTCCGGAAATTTCGACCACCTGGAGTCCTTTAACGTGCACCCAAATCTGAGTACACGGGCCTACAACATTTCTGCCTCCATCGGAAATGCAGCCGCCGCAGCCGGGATTGGAACCCGCGACCTGCGGGTCAGCAGCCGAGTACCTTAGCCACTAGACCACCGCGGCGGGGTTCTTTACTACTTACGCTCATCACGAAGGGCTCAGAACAACTTTTCTCAAACAGCCGCGTAAGTGCGGACCAATGCGGTGACAAACCAGCTGCCAGCAGGGCCGCAATTAAGGGGAAGCCGAGGGGATTGTGACTCCCTGAGATTTTTCCATGCTTCAGCTTTTGGGCTGATACTAAAGTATTTACACGTGCTCACATCAACCACCAGTTACCAAAGCTAGCCATTGTACACATAAACACACCCCCAACAAAATTCCTGCGTACGACCTTGGCTGGCTGTAAATATACAAAATTCTCGTTTCACAACGCACAAACGCTTTTTCCGTGCGATGAGTCGCTGCAGAATTATTTTGCAGTGACGTAGTACTAGAATTACACTGTAGTAGTATTGGTAGTGTTCAGTGTCGTCCAAATGACCGCCAAGTGGCCAAAATATCAAGTGCGTAGGACTGGCGTATGCAGGTAGTGCCACACTCCAAAATTCTTTTTCGCCCATACAGAGCATACAGTGATACTGGACCACATCTGCTTATGCATCCGGGCATGCAGCCGGGTGCTAGCTTATTTCAACATTTTAGTTTTAATCTCATCTTCATAGTGATTAAATATTCATCGTCATACGCAGTGTGCCTGACGTTTCCATAAGGTCCGCGTTTCCATAACCACGTCTCTCGCTATATCAAACGAAAGAAAGTTTCGCGGTTACCGGCCTGCATAAATGGCCCGTTCGTTATTACATATAAATATATGCTGCATTATGCAGTGTGTAAATAACTTGCAATTCACTGATGGGTGCAGGCAGCAAGCATTGCGTTAAAACTATTCCTTTTCTTGAGAAGCGCTGATGTACTCGCATCATGCAGGGAATGTATGCGCGTCATTCGACCGTTGTTTTGGCTCTGCAGGCGGTTTCAAGCAAAGCAATTAGAGGGCGAAAGTTCACGGAAGGGGGTTGCAGCATTCCCGGCGGGGAGCACGAGACTTTCCAAGGTTACATGTCACACGCATGACTGAAGTGCGTGCGTCGTCTCCCAAGTGCTAATCAGTTGCGATATCGGTGAATGCGTTGTTATACGCTTCCTGCGTGATTCGTATGCGAGTCCAAACGATGAAATCACAATGTTACGTCTGTGCCATCGCACTTTATATCCTCTATATCACTGCCCTCAGTGCCTCAACGCGCAGTTTGCTGCGGCAGTTTGCAGAGACCGCGTAAGGGGAGAGAGTGCGTCGTTTAGTTGTTTTCTCGAGCGCTGGCTGGCGCTGCAGAGCGCGGCGTTTTTTAACAGATTTAGGCCTAGCGCGCTCCAGTGCAAGTCGCGCTGTGTAGCTCGCGTGGAGCGTGACAGCAGCACCGTAGTGGAAGACGCAGTTTACTGTTGTTTCGTGCACTCGAGGGGCACCCGTTGTGCGCATTTAGCATTTAGTGGTGCTCGTGAAGGTGGCGCGGGAATCATGCCTCGAAAAACTGCGTGATCGGTGCGCGAAACTTTCTTGTGATGCCCGAGTCAATGCCTATGGCTGCTGCTGCCACTGCCTTGGCTAGCGCCGTGATACTCTTTGCTGTGTTCACCGTCTCTCTGACAGCTGATACAACGACGGAAACGACGCGAGGTTGGTACATGATTGTGTTTCGACTCTCCCGCGACATTGCTGGATCGCTTAGGTTTTTTAAACACCCAAAATATCGCGCTGAACGTGACTTGGGTACAACAGACGGACGGAGTTTTTTTTTCTCTCTCTGTGCAGCTGACTGACAGAGCATATAGAGAGGGAACGCAAGGGAGATGTTTTTATTTTGGCGGCGCCCCCTTTGCGTACATAGTTTGTCTGTCTTATCACGGTGCTTGTGCATCCCACGATCGTAGAGCGCTGTTTAAACACTCATCTCGGCAAGATTGCCGTCGACAGGCACGGGAGAGTCGGAGAGAGAGAAGGACGTGAGGCTATGCGATTTTGTTGGGGGTCGGGCATTGACGATAATTAACACCCGCGCGAATTGTGACTCATTAGCTTATCTCGGAATCGGGTGCGCCCATGTGGATGTCATTCCGTGAGCGCGTCTCCCCGCTGGGGCCTCGTTCAGTCTTGTATCCGCTCCCTGTTATTATTGGCGAGGTCGTTTCCCTTCACGTGTTTTCTTCGCGCATTCGATCGGGATCAAGTGCTCCTACGCTCGGCAGGGAAGCAGTTGTAGTGCACGGATAACCCGTCGTCCTTCGCAGTGCTCCACGACTTTCGACGAAGTTTTTTTTTTTTGACGGATTCGAATCGTGACATGGCACATTCGCGCATCTCGGCCTGCTCGCTTGCGCCATCGGAATCGTAGCGATGCGGAGGCGGGACGTAGATGCATGTGCCATTCTCTCGAGGCCACGAGAATGCAGCGAGCATCGATCGTGACCGCTCGACGTTATCCACTGCCGCCGTTATTGCGTTCGCACCCGTGAACTCGGCATTTTCCCCGATACGTGGTACGCAATTCACGAAAAACCCCTGCTCGATCAATAAAGCTCTGGAGATTTATCTCTCACACGCGCGCTGCCTCGATTCCTTTCAGAGCGACAGGAATAGCGTGCTCGAAGACGCTGCTTTTATCGCGTCATCACCACTACACAGTGAACGAGGAGTCGCAATCAGTGCGCGCCAGTGAAGTTCCTCGGGTCCCAGTAAGCGATCCGGGAACAACCATTCGTGACAGCTGCATTGCGATACGACAGCGTCACTCGTTTCACTCAAAAATGATGGATCACGCTTTCTTCTTCCACTTTACGGTGCTACGCTAAAGAAAGCCGGCAGCACTGGGTAGTTTTACTTGAGGCAGTGTCATACAGGCATGGGATAAGTTTCTCATTTTACAGCAGTGTCGTAGGTCATGCTAATGAAGTCTCACAAATAAGCGAAAATTGTCGTTTTTAATGCATATGCTGAGAGTGACTGTGCTGAAGATATTTTGCGTTAACTAATTCCATGCTACTTATCGGTTGCTTTTTTTCTGTTACAATTAATGCTCACTGCTTGCTGTTATCTTCGAGTCTCACTCTACAATCTGTGTAAAACTTGGGCTAAACTAGCCGCACGTGCCTTTTTATTTCAGTAATGCTGGATAGTTGTAAGTTTATGTTCATGTCAAAGTTATATCATATTGTGCAATGAAGCAAATGCAAGAAGTATGCAAGTGCAGTCTACTTACATGTGCACAGGTCAATGATATTGGCTGACAGACAGTTTGTATGATAGACATGCCAGTAGTGTACTGTTCGCTGCTTTGGCTAATGACCACATTCATGTTCAAGCAACGTTTACAGTTTTGACTGATATTTGAACTAGTGTATAGGTGGCTTAATACCAAACTGGCTTCATCAAGACTTTAGTTATTGTTCTTGTTCACTTAAGTATGTGCACCTTCATTTGTTTAAATCAATTAATATGGGTGTTATTTAAAAAAATGAAGCAGCATCACAGATGTTTGTAGACCATTGCTAATAATGGGAAAAATGAGATAAAATGATTCCAGAAATACTTAATAATCTTAAATTCTAGATGAGGTGCCAGGGTTTTTCTTGCAGACAGCAAAGAAGCAAAGGATATGATTTAAAGAAAAAAATAAACACCAGATTTATTTCTGACACCAAATAAGAAGCCAGATGGCAGGCCAATGAAATGAAAAGCAAAGTCGGCCACTGAAGCTCACTTCGACATTTGTCGAGCACAGAAGTTGAATTTCGCAGAACAAGTTTTCTTTAAGGCAGAGGATGCTTGTCTGAGTCTTTATGTGGAATAAATGAGAAAGGCCTTAATTTTTGCTGTCTCTGCTGCCTGCAGTGAAATGTCCGGATAATCAATTTGCTTGTGCCGATGGGCAAGGCTGCATACCAAAGCAGTGGAAGTGCGACTTCTCCCCTGATTGTGCGGATGGCTCAGATGAGCCTGAGGACTGTGGTGAGTGGGGTCTACCCTCAGGATCTCTCTTTTTTTTTGTCACTGCACTACATGAGATATATACGGCTCTGACTTTCTTTGCTGGCAAGTTACCAAGTGCAGTGATTGAGCTTGATTGAGCTGATTGACTTGATGAGATGATTGAGGAGGCACTAAACAAGCAAAGCTGTTGAAGACGAGTTGCAAGGCTGGCTGCTTACTCATTCTTGCAGTCATAGAAAGCGGAGCTAATTGGTAGGGGTTCGTATAAGAAAGTGTTGGTTGGGCTAGCATGACTAAAAGTGAAAGGAAATGGAAATTGAAAACACCGGTATTTTTCTTATCTGTTTCCCTTCTGTCTGTTTCTGTTTCTGCATGCCTGACTTTCTCTGTTATGCTGTTTCCTCCTAAACAAAAGCGTGACAGCTTGTTTGTGAAAGCTCTTCCTTGATATTGCAGGTTGCGTAAAACATCTGATGATGCTTTGTGGAAATGTTAGATTTTGTCAGCAGTGGGGACAAGTACTCTAAAAATGCAGCCATCTATCAAAAATGACTAATTAGTCCTGCAGGACTTCTGTGGGTATTTTTGTTCCAAGTTGCTGATAAGTTAGCCCCTGCCCCTACCTGCCTTACGCTAACCTCTTGGTTATTTCACGTGGTCAAGCAAATGTCCCAAAAAGGCAATGCAAAAACTTGATCTCCATTGATCAGATGGAAAGCACTGCTGCGAAATAAATGTTTTTTCTAGTATGGCGGTTTGTCCTCCATACGAAAGAGATTTATTTGGCAGGAATGCTTTCTATCTGACATATCTGTAGAGCTTTTTGTTGTAGCTTAATTATTCTTTCAGATAGATGACTTTTCTCTCCTTAAAACACAATAATGTTTTTTATTTAAACTTGCATTGAAACAGTATGGGAACTCTTTTGAGGCTTTTAAAAAGTAGATGTCACACCACAGTTCTCTCAGTGCTGTGGGAACATTTTATTCATTGAATTGTTTCTGTCATTGATCTGTCATCCTGTCTTTAAAAAAAAATTATATTTTCATGACTGTGAGGCCTCTTATTACTTCCTGCATGTTTCTTACCCACTTTTCTTTTTTTATCTGCAACTTAGCTTAGTTGTTCCTCAAAGCTTTCTTTGTCATTCTCATAAGCCAGAACTTGATATTTCTAAGTAGGCATATAAAAAACACGCATTTCAAATGTGACATTAGTATATTTGTGTGTGTGTGTACATGTGTGCGTGCATGTCTGTGTTATCCCTGTTCCAACCATTTTTTTCTTTGCAGAGGGCTTTAATTTTTTTTTTACATGCATAGGTTTTTACCCTACGATTTCCAACTTCAGAGTATATATTGACATCTCGTTTCTGCAGATTGTATAATTAAAATTTGAAGCATTTTTTTTTATCACATTATTGTGCACATTTGACCTAGATCATGTAAATGCAATGATATTTTAAATATTCGTGATGTTCTCATACAACTTTCAGTTGTCAGGATAAATTATTATCTCATATGTATTTATATAATAATGAAAGTGGGGGGATTTTTTGGAGGGCTCGTGATATAAAGGCCAATTAATAATGAGGCTAAAGAAAGTATAGGGTATATTGATTATAATGTTTTAACTGATTTGCAGTAGTTATGACATAAATATAAAGAAAGTAAAATGGATGAAAAGACAACTTGCTTCATCTTAACACAGCGCAGACACATGAACTCAAAAGAATAAGGAAAGAAGCGACAACACGAGTGCTGACTATGATTTGAAATTTTTACTCACTACACACATATAAACATGGATGAGCGTCATAATGGAATGGCAGCGCAACCACACACAAACCGGAAAAGAAGGCACATGAAACACAGCGCTGAACTCACTACTCAATCTTTCATTTGAGAAATTACACTTAAAAGAAGAGCCACCGTAGTAAGCTTTCTGGATGCACAAACTATATTAGAAAACTATCTGGTTCGTGCATTTGTGAACCATCAGTGATGTTGCTTGGTTGTGATTATTATTTTTAAACCAATACACGTGACGACTTTGATGTACATTGCTTTTTAGTTCTTTGTGTTCACTTGGTTTTTTTGTTGATACCCAATTATTTTCACGTTTCTTCAGTTTGTGCATGCGGGAAGCTTACAGTGGTTATTCTTATAAATGTCGTTCCTGAAATAAAAAAAAATCCATTGTGAGTTCAGCGCTGTTTCGCATGCCTTGTTTCCCTGTCCGTGCATGGTTGCGCTGCTGTTATATTGTGAAGTACGACCAACTAGCTTGAGTTTCAGTTAAGCAAGACATTATATTGCACATCCTAAGTGGCATCTAAAAAGCTAATCTTATTTTTCAGTAGATTAAGTGAGGCCTGGCTGATATTTCTTTCCCCTTTCTAGATGTGAAATGCTTCGATGATTTCTCTGACGGTGCGATTTTGATGTCTCTCTATAACACTTGTATCTTTAAGGACAGGATAGCAATTGTACCTATTAAAATTGGCATTCAAGTGAGCATCCTCGTATTTCTCAGTGTTGTTCTGTGCTTTATGAATCTCATGTTAACACATCGACCCGTTTGATTGATGTAAGAGGCATCACAAGACAATGGTATTTCATGCACAACATTTGCGGCACAAAAAGCAAAACACTTAATTATCTTCATTACTTATGCTATACCCTCCTTGCCCTTTGTTAGCTTCGTCATCACACTTTATTTGCACCACTGCGCATATGCTACTTGTCTTTAAAGGCGCAGAGACCATGATATTAACCCCAAGCTGCATTCCTATTATTTTAAAGGGGCCATAAAACATTTTTTTGAGTAACCATGGAATTAATTCACTGGAAAAGCATATTGCCTCACAAATTCAACGCCGCAAAAATTTTAAGAATCTGTACAGTTCGAGCAGAGTTACAAAGATTTGCCACACGCTGCAATCGCCTTCTTTCTTCTCTCGTCCCGACAAAAGCGCTGAAAGCTAAGCAGGGATGGGAGGGGCAAACAAAAAACATCACGTGCGCCTCATGACCTTGAGCACTTTTTCTTTTTTTTTTTTTATTCTTCAAATACTTGGCTTTTTCAGTGCGATCAGGCGCGCATGCGCGGACAAGTGACGGCTTTTTGGGGCAATCTCTGTAACAACCGAGCACGCAATGTTCAAATCGGCCAGTGGCTGATAGATAAGTAATCTGCGTGGGATTTTTGAGCATCTTCCATCATTTGTCGAGTGAAGAGAAAGCAATTTTTAGCTGACTTTGATAATTTATTGTGAATTCCAGGCTGGGTTCTGCGCTATAACACTTGGCTCGCGTGTTCTCGGGAGCCTCTACTACCGATCAGCAGCGTTTTCCGACCATGCTCAAAAGGTGTTCCTAAACCCCTTTAAGGCAGCGTGACATTTTGTGCATATACGGAAGAAGTGCTAGGTGTTTCCTATTACTGCTAACATCCTTTAAATCCCGCATGCTGTCATAAAAGTGTAACCTTGATATTCATAAGTTGCACCATGTGACGCTCATCTGTGTTTTGGTTTACGTGTGGTGAATGAAAATTTCAGTGGCCCAAATGGCCACCTTAAACAACTTACGATCATTAAATATTAGTTTCTCAGCATCATTACATATTAGTTACACATCATATGTTGTTAGGCTGAGCCCAACTCTGTAGAGTTGAATCTCGGTGTGAGATGTGGCGTATGGGTAACTCAAGTTTTTCTTGGCTTATAATTGTTTGCTACTGTTCAGTTCTATACAGCAGCGGCTGAAAGGAAAGACAGTTCGTAACTCTATCTGTATGTCTGTGGTCAACAAAACAGCCCTCTTGGTGGGCCTGGGCCGGATGTCGAAGTACCCTTATCATAGTAACTGATAACTCAAAAGAGTTGGTTGCGTAGTTGCATCTTGTGACTGTAATGACGCTGAGTAAGACTGTTTTTATCTACACGACGACTTTCCACTTACGTAGCCAGATCGCTTGTATAAACATCTTTTCCCTTTTTTTTAAAGTCTTGTCCACTTTTAAAATAGATAAGGTGCTTGCAGTATTTTAAATGAAACAGGTATTTTAGAAATATTCTGTTGTAGCCAGCCGAATCTGTTGCCATCAGCTGACCTACTTGAAGATGCAGGTGCACGATGAGTGATGGAGCTTTCCTAGCAAATTTATGTTACTGTGCCCCGCCGCGGTGGTCTAGTGGCTAAGGTACTCGGCTGCTGACCCGCAGGTCGCGCAATTGAATCCCGGCTGTTGTAGGCCCGTGTGCTCAGATATGGGTGCACATTAAAGAACCCCAGGTGCTCGAAGTTTCCGGAGCCCTCCTTTGTGACGTCTCTCGTAATCGTATGGTGGTTTTGGGACTGTTAAACCCCACATATCAATCAATCAATCTATTTATGTTACTGTACCTCTTCGTATGCAACGCAAACTTTTTCTAGAGCTGGGCTACCGAAAGTCGACCCTCGTGTTACAATTGAATACCAAAACTGCTGTTTCTTCTGCCTGGGCGCAATGGAAAATTACGCCTCATGTTACAACCGAAGTAAATACAGTAGTCATGGGCTATACTTTGTTGTGTACATATCAGTCTATGTTATGAAGGGTGCGGTAGAAATCGGCCAGCAAAATGTACGACTCAGCAAAATGTACAACTGCACACTTCTCATAGCTGCCTTTTGTCTTTGTAAGTGCTCGTGCAAGCAGAAAAGCAGCGCATGTGTCAAGCATCGGGAAACTTGAAGTAAAAATTAAGCAACGAAGTCAACGTATTGTTACGAGATATAAAACAACATACTCAAAGGTGTATAACGGAGTTTAGCTCTAAGCCTCCAAAGCTTCTGATGTATTACTCCGCAGAAAACTGGAAGAAATTATATTGTCGAAAAGAGGAGCTATTGCCTATTCTGAACACATCTTATGCATAAAGTCTTGCTAGACTTTACAGCATTGACTGCTATTTATGAAACGAAGTATTGTGTCAAACGAGGCAGAACTCAAAGGGAAAGAAGAGAAAGTGT